AAAGAGCTGACTCTATTCGAATTTCTACTTTCCTTATAATTTAGGTATGGACCCGCAAAATCAAGAATAAAACATCGTTTTGATTATACTTACATCAAATCGGTTCTTCTCTAAGTTACTGAATATAACTTCTTTGACCCTCTTGGTATTTAAGCCCAACTGATACGCTGCCGCTGCATAAAAGCAGTCCTCATCAACCTTGGAGTCGTAGGTAACGGTAAACCCCGCACTTTCAAGTCATTTACTCAGGATTTCCAAATTAACACAAAGAGAACTACTAAGAAATAGTGAAACAAGCTTTCTCGCAACGAAACACATAGAACGAGGAGAAACGTAATGCCGAACTAAACGCGAATTTGCTGTCCATCGACTTCACACGTTTGCAGCGGCTTGACGCTCCAGTTTCTAGGTAACATCCGGATAAAGTCCATCGAAGACGACTCCTCGTTTAAGCGAACAAGGTAGACGACTAGTGGTTTTTGTTTTCTGCGGTAAATCTCTATTTTTCAGTCTTTTGTTGCAAAAACACTGATACGCCGTTGCTAGTAAATTACTCAGGATGTATAGTGGTCGTGATTTCGCACAATCGTGGCTCTTGAATGCCTTTTACGGTACGGGTTTTCTCTGTTTCGATTGGCTGAAAGGGAAAGCCATTTCAGTCTCAATATGGCGGACGACAAATATCACATATTCCACCAAGATAAGAAAGACAGCTTTATAGCGTTCTTTTATTTAAGAAAAGTGCAAAAAGGTTTGCGAATATCCTGATATCTTTTACCAATGCTCGATGTTGAGCGACTTTCACTGAGCGCTGTCATCATTTACATTTAAAAAACCCCGAATCAAATGATTCTGAACTCGCGGAAGCCCATCCGCAAAATGAAGTCGGCAAATAACCGGCAAAAATTAAAATAGCTAAACGGCCTATTATTTCTTTCACTGGATTCAAACCATCTAGAAATAGCAGAGGATTAATTTTGAAATAAGAAAATGAGTGAAAATGAGGAAGAGAAGTAGAACTGAAAACCTTTTCTTCTCGGTCTTATATCTCTTCATGTGACGATTGGAAACACTGATTTCTTTGTCTTTTACTTCGAAAGGCAAATGTAATGAAAATACCTCATGTTTAAGATATTAAAAAAGGTTAATGATACTCACGCGTTTCTTGTTTTGGCGATGTGTGTTGTGTGATGTGATGTATCACTCAGCTTCGCATCAGCTTTCCAAGAAAGCTGCTTTCTTCAATACCATTTGCGATTTCCTCACATAAAACTTGGTTTTTGAACCAACATCTCGGTTATCTAGCAGACTTCATACTTAGTAAAACCAGAATTTAAGGCCGAGAAATCGTTGCGTTCACAGCTTGAATATATCACGGATATGTTTGACCTGGCCCAGCCGCTTCAGGAATCTCCTTTGAATATAAAACCGCAAATGAGGGAAGGCGCACTTTGAAAGAGATTTCTCTTCGCCCCGAGCAGCTGAGTTTTACAATATATTGCAATTTTACAAAATCATTTAGTGATGCCTTTGTGGATCACCGCAGATATTACGATTGGTGGAATCTAGCTCTGGCAGTGCTGAAATATTCAGTACCATGTCTTTTCCCTGGCTCAAATATATATTTGATACTGTGACACAGCCAACTTATAGGGGTAGGGGAGGGGAATTTTGACGTTTTCAATAATAATAATCGTTGTCATGATTACTATCGTCATCATTCACTATGATCAGGTATTACCATCATCACCCTCTCGTACAACATCATCAGTGTAATCAGTGCCGGTCTTGGATCGATCGGAGTCGTCTTTTTCGTCTAATAAGATTCCAAATCCACTAATTTTCCTACCGCTTTTTCGAAAGTAAAACAAACAACAATACAAACACTCCTCTGCAAACAGTCTAAGCCTTTGAAAAATGGACCGCCAGCAGCGCTCTCTGCTCACGGAATTTGGTTGAATCAAACCCTGAATACAATCAGGGTAGCATGCTCCGTGATCCTACATAGACTTTGGCATTGCTTTCCGTTTGAACCCGTTGAGATGCTTGTACTTGTCTACTGTACAAGTTTGTTAATGGAAAAAATATTAGAGACCTGTAGTAAGGCGTTCTTGCTAGCCCCGCAAACCTCAAACTGCAGTTCGACTTCAGGCCTTTTTCGTTCAAACTATCGACATTTATCAAGGCGGCATAACGAATTTGTCCGGCGTTTTTCGGAGGCATGATTTCTAGCGGTTACAGGTTAGCTTTAAATACGATGCTAAAGGTATCTAATGTTAATAGAGTCCCCTTTATTAACTATGATGGAAAACACCATGAAGAGAAATTTCGGGTAACTTTCTTGCGTTTATATTAGAGTCAGTGAGACAGTAACTCACCATGCGTGAGTTCGAACCAATTACAAATGCAAATATTAGTTTCTGTTCAGCTTATTCCGGCAGGAAATCGGAAATAGAGCTAATATTCTTATTGGTGCAATGATTTGTTTATCGAATTTTCCAAAGTTAATTATTCATCTGTCAATCATGAGTCTTACAAACGACAAAGTAGGAACTCCTTCTGAAAAATACCCACAAGTTTATAATTCGAACCCTGAAACAACCTGTGATGACCAAAGCCAAGGTTGAATTGGTTTAAGTCGTTAGGTTTTGCGGACGGAGCGCGAGGAAAAAGACCCAAGAGAAAAAAAACCTTGCAATCGAGGGAGCAGAACTATCAAACTCTACTCACATGTGATGAAACGCGGGAGGTGATTGCACTACCACTACCCCGCCCTCGATGGGATTATTTGTCTTATTAGGGATGGAACATTAGATAATTAAGGGGGGAGGAGGTTGGGTGGCAGGAATTTATGTTGCAAGATTGTAATAATATATATATATTTTTTAACAACCCCTGGACACAATGGATTGTGTATGTATGATATTTCCTTTACTAATAGTACCTTGGGTTCAAGAGGGATCTTTTCCACCACCGCTCTCAGCAGTAAATCCGCAGAGGGAATCCCTCTGGAACCAGGGTATACTAAAAGGAGAGGTTGCGGGATAATTGTTTCGTAGGTGAAGTACTTGCTCGATATTTTTGCGGGGGATTTGTGCGCAGCCCTCTTCCCCCTCAATTATCTCATGGTCATTACACCTGGAGTGCTCTGGTTGGTTGTCTGCTACATCCACAATTGATGTCATCATTCATGCCAATCTGGGAACCAGAGATTCCTTGCTCTGGCTGCGACTCACTGTTAGCTAGATATAGTCGTTTGCAGCTAAGCGTGGACACATAATGAAACAAAAATGATGTTCTAATTGGTGGCCGAAAAATAGGAGTTAGAATCATTTTGTGGTATCTTTTCTTCAATACTGAGTATAAAACTAGAAGATATTTTGATTACAAAATACTAAAGAAATGTATGGAGCAATTTTTAACGTTGAGTGTATGACGTCACAGACTCCTATAAAAATTCGCAAAAATATAATACTTGCCATCCAAATATCAGGAAAAAACTAATACTGAGTGTATGACGTCACAGACTCCTATAAAAATTCGCAAAAATATAATACTTGCCATCCGAATATCAGGAAAAAACTTTAACCAGTGATTATTAGACCTTTAAGGGTTATTCCAGTAAAGTTCCAGCTGAATTACAATTCGGACGATTTTCATGCTAGTCCCCCTTAAAATCAAATCAAAACTAATAACTCCTATGTTTTAGTTTGATGTGGAAGTCAGAGAGAGAACAGAACCTCTGGTATTAAAGCCAGACCTTATAAAACGATTGTGAACTTGTCTCTCATTAAATCGAGAATCGAGGTGCTAATACTGTATTGAATTTGTTTTACTTTGTGCAACGTGTCCTTGTGGCTGTCGCTATAAACCGCTCGCACTTCATTAGCTTATCTGTCACACACAACAACGACATGCAGTAATATACTAGTAAAAGCATTCAAACTATTAGACCTCTTACCAAAATGATAATAATCACTTCGGGCAACACAAAGAACAAGGTAAAATCGTATCGAAAATGCCGTTCAAAGTTTACATTAAAATCGTATCATTCATTATTCATTCACCTACTAAAACATTACGCCAAGCGTTTCTTGTCATTACACGTATGAATATCTAGTATTGTACAGGTATTTATGGACCTGTTGAAAAAATTAACCTCGGGTGCCTAGAATTTTTACGCACTAACGCTCACGGTATAATATCACTGTTGTGTTGATCGTTCGATACCGAGAGCATTCAGCGTGATATTTATAAGGGGTGGGATAACGAACAAGTAAATCATCTGACAGATCAAAAAGAGCATTAGAAAGTTTATAATCACAGTCTGATTGAGATTCATGTTTGAGATCAATATAATATATGAAAAATGGGTGTTAGGGGTTGGCAAAAGTGGAATGTCTGATCATAGTTACTCATGGTCTGATATAATCCAGGTATTTTTGCGCGGGCTCAAAAGGTTTATGAGACAATGGTATTCATAATCGTAATTGACTATCATCAACATGAAACCATTTTACCTCAGATTATAAATGATTAAAGCGTAAGACTCAGATTATGAGAGAATTCTATAGAATGATGTACCTTATTGCTGCTGAACTTCCTCGCTCAAGAAAACGATTCGACGTTCGCAGAAGAAACCATCGAAGATGACCAGCATGGAAACTCGTATCATGAAATTTCTTGTGTTCAGATAATCGTAACTGTTAGTAAGTCTACTGTAAATACATACAGGTAAAGTACTGAGTTTAGTCGGCTACAAAACCAGCGTATTTGATGAACACACACGATAATGACCGACAAAACCCCGGCGACAAAAATGTCCTGCGATAATACGTCTTGATTAGAGTCAATATTGAACCAACGCGAGTATCGAGTTTCTTCACGCAAGCCACAGGTAGACCGATCTTACAAAACAACACCGAACATTTGTTTACGCTTTGCGACGGGAAAAAAGTGTTTTCATGCTCTGGGAATAGGATTTATTTCGGTTGAGGAACTCGAAAGCGATACGTGGAGGGGATACCAGATTTTACAAGTACTAACAAATAAAATGGATATAATGAACTAAGTTGACAGGTCAGACGGACAGCCGGATATGAACAATTTACGGAAGCAGGTTTATTGTGACATTACGTTTGACAACACTTAAACAGGAATACAAATGAACAGAAAGAAAGAGGGGAAGAGAGAAAAACGAAAGAAAGGAAGGAAAGAGGAAGAGATAGCCTACATCAGTCAGGTACATAAAAATAAACCAACAGAAACAAGGGGAAGAGAAATATAGAGACAAAGTTAAAAGGTATCCATGTTACAGCATAAATTTGCTCAAACGTTAGGCGGCCGTTTAACCGGAGGAGGGGGTGGTGGCGGGGGTGGTGCAGAGGTACTGGGAGGAGGTGGAGGAGGAGGTGGAGGAGGAGCTGGAGCAGGTGGTGGAGGTGTTGCAGAGGTACTTGGAGGACGCGGAGGAGGAGTAGGAGCAGTAGGAGCAGTAGCGCTTGTATAGCGAGGAACTCCTTCCACTTTATCCACTGTGACTCGCCTCTCAGACGTCTTCCGTAAACCCGTGGGACACTCTTTCCTTCGTCTGAAAAACCGGGTTCTTTGCTTGGGTTTTCTCGGTTCCTCGGTACCGTTTGGTGAAACTCTCTCGTAACCCTTGTACTTCCTTCGTAGTCTCCTTCGTTGACAACAACACACGCAAAGACACACCATAACAGGAATCAACACGAATAGACTCGCTACAGCTATCAAAGCATGCGGAACGAGTTTGCGCTCCACGAGGAAGCTGAACGCACGATTCTTTCGCATCAAACGTTTCACCATGGAAACCTCTGTTGTCTCCAAGCAGAAGTGACCGTTACCAAGGTAACCCAGATTACAACTACACCTGAATCCACCTGGGAAGTTAGTGCACGTTGCTTGGATTGAACAGTTGTGTTGATCTGTGGAACATTCGTCAATATCTGAAAGATCAGAAAAGCCAATAAGGTTATAGACTGCAATAGCACTAATAGGCTATTTTCACAGACAGGATAGGCCTAGAACCGACTCATTGGCAAGTGTGGCGGCATTTGTGTGTGAAACATGAAAATTCGTTCGGCTTTGTCCAAAATGAAAACCCAGTTCTCTAGTTTTGCCTTTTTTGTTCGCAAAAATATTCGTTGCTCGACATTATAGCTGTTGAAGACAGGGGATAAAGTTTACAACTTCATCTTGGTCTCATTTTGATACTCTTGAGCAAATGAAACCCGGAAAACCCATCACAACTTAAAATCAAGGTCCTGTATATTGATTCAGTAATATGACTGGTTTTCTTCAGTGACACAAATAGCCAGCTAATTTTCGATATTCTGGTTAAGAGGTCTGAAAGCCCAAAGCATTTCGAGTCGAGACGAGTCGGGGCAAAATGACGTATCCGTAAAATATATTCTTTCGTTTTCCTGTTTTTCGTCATCCCTCGACTTGGATATTGTTTTGCGCTTGGTCACTCAACCACAATATCCAAAGTTGGATATTTCAGCAAAATGATGATTATAATACCAAACTGCAGACGACATAAACAATAACAGGCATATGGCTAGAACGACCACTGATCAATATACTGTTGAGCTATTTTTTTATCAGGATTATATCGACAGCTGTTTCCCTTGGAAAATTTCTGGACTTTGTTTGCTCAAGCCAAATAACATCCTCTTTTCCTTAAACATTTTCGGCGCCAGTAGTGGCTCTACTCCATGCAGGCCTGGGAATAAAGTTGAATTTTCCTTATTATTACAGAGCTTGTATTGAAATACTGTGACTTTATCCATGTAAATGATAAACACGACTGTCTCTTTTCTTTTTTTCGCGCCATTTTTGGCTTCCTTAGCAACGGATTTAGCAAGAGACTTATTGTCTTGTGCAGAGTACTGAGATTACTTTTAGTGTTATTTAGTGTTTTATACGAGCAATTTGATAGTAAAATATGTGTCAAAACTGTGGTACACGAAGTCAAAAAGACGAAAATGTGTAAGTGAAAGGATTAAAGTCATCAAGAAGATTCGCTGTGGACATTGAAAAGAGATCCGAGTAATGAGTTTGTTCACCTGTGGGAAGAAAACCGCCTGGTTTTCCATCATTTTTTCCGTCCTTTTATTGTTTTTACCAGTTTTCCAGCCATTTTAAATATCTTTTCAATTGCTTTTGGGGTACAGTCCAATAACAGATATTATGGATGCATGCAAATGAGACGCAAATGAGACAACAAGCATTGTATCAACTCGATAGCCTCACTTGATGATTCTTTAGAAAAAGGAATATCGCATTGCGGGCTGTAATAAAAGTTAGTGGTTGAGATCAATAAGTTTCGCTCTAACTTCATGTCTTAGATCGACAGATTTTGAGTTAATTTTCAAGTTTGAGGAACAAGGAATATTTATATATATATAATTTTAATATTTATAATACACATATTTCATGTAATATCAAGTTTAACTTTTTAGCATTTTAGGTATTTTTTTAAGGTGTCTTAACAGCTGATTTAAATTTCCAGAAAAAGTATAGGAAACGAGATTTTTGAGCCAAATTAAAATATAGAGGAACACGTGACGACTGAAGGCACATCAAAAGAAACTCCCCTTTAATTTCACGGATTGCTGGACTTAATTAATTCTGTGATAAAACTCTTTGAATCTCATTACCTGCTGTAAATGGTGGTCAAACACCATGTGCTGTGAGAAGAATTATCTAATTAAAACAGGTATAGTACGATTTAGCTGAAAAACAATGTTCACGAGACAGTAATTGACTTCTTGTGAAAGCAAGGAATAATGGACACTCGAGGCAAAATATTCCCTGCTAGCAGAGTCTCTCGTATCTTCGTATTTTTGCTTCCCTGCTAGCATGTGTCTCCCTCGTTGGCTGTTCTTGGCAGAGAAATAGAGTCTCCATTTTTCTTTTTTTTTTTTTTTTTTTTTTTTTTTTTTTGCCACAAATCACCAACGAGAGAGACTCTGCAAGCAGGGAACATGAGGGAAGTAAATTCATCCCCACCCCACCCCCAAGGGGATGACCTCAAATCACAATGTGACTTATCTTAAAGTGCTACTATGACGAAAATC